TTTTCGTCGAGCGGGGACACATGAAACAGGAAAAATCACGCAAAAAGTCAACAACCGGGAAAAGTTTTTTCCCGGCGCAGCAAATTTCTCTCAAAGGCACGTACGATTCCCAACGACCTACGGACCCCCCTACCCAGCGGAAAAGTACGACCCCGCCTATGTATTTCACACAGCGATGCTGTACCCTAGTCCTGAGGCAAATAAGAAAAACTCTTCAAAAATTGAGGTAGTCCTTACCTAATTTCGCATACGCCAACACTATCGACTACTGTGCCGTCGTCTAGTAGAGTAACAGAAGTGTCCGAACACCTTTTCCTGATCATCATCTGATTATTCGAAATACGCCTTTCTGAAATGCCAAACGGTCAACAAAATAGGCTAAAAAATCGGCAAAAATCCCTTTCTCTGAGGCATTTCTTTTGTTTCGTTTGCAAGATAGCTCGTATGCTATTTTCCGCTTACTGTCTTGTTTTTCCATCTTATGTAATTACCAGACGCTGTCTCTCAGATGTTGTCTCTCATAAGCCCCTTTATTGTGCTGTCGGAAGAAAACATAATCATAATTCAAAGCTAATAAGCCAATTGACTCACCGTAGATGCAAAAGTTTCCTTGGCAGATGTTTGTCTGACAGTCGGAGCCGTCATACGTGACGCAGTCGTAGCAGGACACTGAAAAGATCCTCTATTCAAGGGATCCTCGTTAATTTCTACTGAAAGAGCACTTCACCAGCTCCAAGTAGCGGCTGCAAAGTTGGGGGACTCGTGGTGGTACACTGGCTGTTGCATTCGTCTCCGGAGGAGCATAGAAGTACGTAGTACTGTCCGAGACTTGATGATCTGAACAAAAATAGCTGGACTTCTTGTAACCTAAATTTCATAAAAAAGGGTGTCGTCCTGCAGCGTAGGATGGGTGATATGTCTGGCTCGAACATACTCGTCATCAGAGACTACAAATACTGCCTTTTTTGGACTCAGCTGTGACTGTTGGGATCCCGAGCAAACCTCCTTCTCCCGAACACGCGAACAGTGGCTGCTCTCAGAAAATCTTAAAAATTAATGACTCACCTAGCGACACACTGGTTCAGATTCGTCATCAAAGTTCCGTCGTCGAACTGATATTGACCACTAGTAGAACATGCCTTTCTCACCGATACAACTCCATTCGGTCTCACGATTTGTTCTGAATCCAGCTACACTTTACAGAACCGTTTCCAGTCCCCGAAAACAGAAAAAAATAGGAATGGTAAATTGTTGGTGAAACTCCTGGCTATTCCTGCAATAACTTAATCAGAACATCGAGACGGGAGGTGATGTGATAAAAAGTGGCACGCTTACCACTGCCGCCGGTTCTGGGATGGAGTTCCGGCTTCGACTATCCGCCCAGGCAACCAAGCCTTCTAACCCGTCGAGGGGGCGCTAGCATTGGTGGCGCAAGATTTCGCTGCCAAGGAAATAAGAACACTGACTTGTATGTACAAATGACTGCCCCCCCCCCCCCCCCCTCAGTCGCAATTATTCTATAGTCCACATGGCATTTAATAAGCCACTACGATTCTAAGTAGAATGTTTGCCGTATATACTGCAAAGGAAACGATAAACGGCGGAGAATTTGTCTTTTTATCCTTTTAATCCAGGAGATCACGTTCACCGGGATTAAGTGTTGATCATTGCTCCACTAAGGCGCACTTTGTAGGCCTTTCAACAATAATGGCATTTCCATGGATTAGCTTGTCACAGCTTTACCCACGAGTAATTGAGGCTGATAGCTGCCTTCAGTGTAAACTGCGGCGATGAACACGAGTCACCATGAAGTAAGAAGTACTGGGTATTCCTTCGACCAGGGTTAGTGAGAATTGTGGATACAGCTCAATTCCAACCGGCCTCAAACAAGGGCTTGCTGTGACCCCGCATTAGCTCTTGTTGAAGTCCTTCAATTACCTCTATCAGTTCTGCAATAATACTGGAAAGACATGGCTGCACGGTACAGCGTCGCTAAGTAAAGCTCATCGGGGCGGGGCTCATATTTGGTTCGAAGAGAAATTTCCGAAATTGCGAATTTACACCATCACATGCGCGCCGCTGTAATCCCTCCCCAGCCAGAGTAGAGGCCAAATTGCGGCAGCGGATATTGAGGCCACAAGGAGATTAGTTTTCTTTTTTCAAAAGGAAGACAGTTTTGCTCCCGCAAAAGTTCGTAAGCTGACGCCGTTTCGGAACAGGGGTGACGGCATATTCCGCAAACATTAGCTAGACTAGACCGCATTGTTAAGGTCAGCTGAGTGGGGCTGAATACGCGTTTATACTCCTACTATTCGGTCAGATTGTTTAGGTTGGCCCATAAAGTGATGGTTTTTTTTCTTTAACGGCAAATTTTTCATATGGAAAGGGCGATAGTTTCCAGCATGTTCTATTAGCTATTCAAATAAAAAATTTTCCGCATATAAAATCAGTATCGAGCGCCTTCGCTACTAAATTTCTTGATTTCTAATGATTTTTATTTCATTGAAATGGAATGTGGGGTTGACACAAAATGAGTTTTTGACAACAACTTTTACATTTTATCTCGGCTCTCAAGTTACTAAAGAAGCTCAAAACTTGTAGTGTATATGGTCAAGTAGAGACGCCTACTATGACGGGCTTGAGGTCGGTTCAAGTGACAAAGGGATGGGAAATCGGAGCTGTAAAATGTGCATGCGCATGGGGAATCCCTATGAGGAGCGACTGCCTCCAGAACCTGCCCACTGATTTTTGACGTCTAACTTCAAATAATGCTATGCTTGATAATGATAAGGGCAAGCATTTCCATGGACCTCTAAACGATTTCTTTGGCCGAGTCTCTGCGGATAAGGTGATTCAGTAAGGTCTCAGTTGGACTCAATAGGACATTAGGTTCGATGCTTGTATGTGAAGTCGAAAATTAAAAATCCTCAAATCACCTAAAACGTTGTAGGCATTCCTAAGAGACCTAGACTCTTGGCCATATACTTAGCAATTAGGCCTGTACGCTTTTAGCTTTTTAATTAAAGATAAAAAGAGAGGCTGTCGAAAATGCTCGATTTTCCGTCGACGTGACACTTCAGTTTGAGCTTAAACAGTTTTGAGCAACTTAAATATTGAAGGAAAGGAAAGTTTTAGAAAAATTAAGAGGAGTATTGTATAGGGCAAGGAATTCTCTGCAAAACAGTATAAAACCCAATGGCAAAACTTTTTATGTTTAGCACGATATTTCGAGTGAGAAAAAGTGCCATTACTTATGGGCCGACTCAAGCCAATAGAAACTTACCATAGAGACAGAAATCCCCTATACAATCCGGATTTGAGACGCACGCCTGTCCATTGTAATTGAAGCAACTCTGACATCTAATCGCCTCTGAACAGCTATCAGTAGCACAAAGTAGGCTAATCAGGTGCTAGCGAAAGATTTTACCGGTAACATAGACCATATGGACGGCCATCAGTGCCAAACTAAGGGCTATCGGACGCATGGCGCAGGAGATGATATGCACTGAACTTACAGCCGATGATGGCGAAATATGAGGAGCGGCTTGTGGGACTGTTTGTTAGAGGATTAAAAGATGCGCGAGTTTTCAGCTGAATCATTGGCGCAAATATGGCAAGTTCGTTCTGAACCTTCTGTCAGCAGTGTCGTCATCCTACGCACATGAAACAGGAAATTTAAAAAAACGGTTTCACGGAAATAAAAGAGAAAATAAGCTTGATTTCTGTTTATGGCTTGAGCGTAAGTGATACGGTCATACACTAAAGGGTGTGCTGCTAATAGCAGCATATTTTTCGTCAACGATTTACATTTATACTACCTTTTCCGAATCCTATGCGTAATTTTGACCACATACCGTGTTTTTTTCCATATTTTTCTTCGAAACTGGTGCCTTGCAGTCAAACAAGCGCAATCTGAGGGTAAGATCATAAAAGCGTAGGCCTTTTTGTTCTTTGCATCGTTTGCCTATTGAAAACTGCACAGAAAAATTGTCCTAGAAAGCAAAACGTGCCCTAAGAGGAAAATTAATATTCAAAGATCGAAGCCGTTCCGCGAACAAGAAGCCGCCAAGGAAACTCAGAATGCCGTCTGTTCCCTGCGAATCCCGAGCCTTCCGACCCTCAACGGATTATTGCCCCCCGAATCCTCCGTCGGAAGGCTGTTGTCGCGGCAGGCTGTATTGAATAAAAACCAACTTTTCGTTCACCAAGGCAACGAGGGAGCACGCAAAAGAGCAAAGCGACAGAAGCGACAACACTGGCAGGGTTACTCGAGCAATCTTGCAGCTCAACGTCCCTAGCTTACAATTTTCTGTCATAGAGTTGTCCACACCACCACTACACACAGGAGCTCTGATTATTACCCCATTTTTGAGCATATTCACCGTCACCGAGTGTACACTTATGTCTGGTCGTACTAGGCTCAAGGAATGTATGTCTTTGTAGGCCGCCAAAATTTAGCAGCACGAAGAGCGGCGGTCTCGCCAAGCTTGCAGGAGTAAAAGGCAGTGCACGATAAATCCCAAGACGACTAGGATCAAAACTCAATAGGAGGGTAGGAACTTCGCGACCGCTTGGCAGACGCTGCAAAGCTGGTTTCTCCGTGGAAAGTGCACCCTATCAAGCGCACAACTTTTCGTCGCCAAAACGCCGCCACGCCGCCGCCCAGCCATTGGACGACCCGTTCGTGACGCTCGTCATTCATTCGTTTGGTAAACACATATGAAGGCGAAGGGATTGGTATAGAGCGGCCGCAGATGCTGGCATGCATACCATGGAGGTACACAATATATGCAGGCGTATCTTCGGTAGCGGTGACTTGGTAAGATGCCTACGGAAAACTCGTCCGAAATCGATTTACAAGTCACTGAGAACGGAGGCTTTTTCTTCGCAGGATTTTGACCGTTTCACTCCGTTCTTTCGCCATTTCCCCACTATACAGCGCCCTACTAGCATTTTAGGCTAAGTAGGAAACCATCGTGCCAACTGCCTTTAATGAGGGAGAAGGGAAGAAGACGACGAATACGTGATTCCATGCTCACTGTTCTCATTTCGATTTAACTTACGCCACTGACACTTGAGCTCGACTAAAGCAAGATGAGCGTGCAGTTGGCGTCATTCAACGCGCTATCGAAAGAGCGATGCTCGGAGTTTCCCGCTACATGCAAGTAAGAGAGGGAGCCCGAGCTCTGCTTTCTCTCTCAGCGATTGAATATCAGGAACGCAGCCGCATTTGCCAAGATTTCGAAGATCAGGTGGACTGGACACGACATGCGTTCAGAAGATGAGCACGTTGGGCACGAGCGATTATTGACTGTACGACAGCCAATACGATGGTCAGATTTCTCCGTGAAAGCCCTGAACGAAAGATATGATGTTCATCATGTCCCTCGAGCACAGAGACCCACTTAGCAAGCCTAACACCTTGCAGGAGACATTGGAAACGTTACTGACGCTCGCTCAAACAATGCAGTGATTAACGCGAATAGAGGTGATACAGGTGATAAGGCGCATTTATTATGTGCAGGATCGCACGGATGCATGCGACAACGCGCACGGGAACCTCCGGACAGGACCAGCTGCTTTTGTATTTTTTTTGCATGTGCTCCTTTTCTAATCGCTTTACAGGCAAGTTTCGTTTAGAATAGTTACCCACTTATTCCAAAGAATCAAAAGAAGTACTGGTAAAACCATTGACTAGAGACGTGAAACTACTGCTGAAAGCAATTACTTATTTTAGAAGATGGGGCTAGCTGCATTTGAAAGCCATTCGTATCTT